ATGGTGCTAAGATGACAACAAGGCTAACGGCAACATTAGGAAATGTTCAAAATAAGCTGTTTGATCCGTCGAAGAAAGCTTTTCAAGATTGCAAAGAACCGGTGTCCAGGTGAATCAAAATGTTTTCAAACAACTAAATATTATTCTTTTTATTATCTGCCTGAGAAATACTGCAGAAATATTGCAATAAAGAAAAAGAAAAAAGAACAATTCTTATTTTTATCTATTAGTTTTTAGTATTAGCGTTCACCAGCTTAACACTACTGAATTGTATAGATATTTTGGTAACAAAACTGTGCAATATTATAATTTTTCTTGTTGCCATTCTTCTATGTTTTTTATAAAAACTGAAAAAAAAGAGTAGATTCTTGATGAAACGCCTGAAACTGAGCGCATTTTTTGTTTTTAATTTATAGGCATTTGTAAATGAGTAAATTGTGCTAAATAATACAGCTTAAATGACAAACTAAACCAAGATTTTAATGAAACCTAAATTCAAGATTAATAATCGTCAATAATAGGCTTATTATCAGTTGTAAATAAACAACAACAAAACCAGAAAAAAAGAAAAAACTTGAAAATATTTTTCACATAATTCAACGCTATTTCGGTGTTAGCATTTTTTATAAGGCAATTTTCGGCTCTAAGATGTATATTATTTTGAGCTTATATATGGATCGATGTATGAATTTTAATTGCTAAGCTGTAATTGGACACCTTCAGCATTTGTTATAGTTATCTGTTTGATCATAAGTTTACACTGTTGTCGGCTTTACCAAACTCTAATTCCTTTATAGAAGACCCAATATAATTCGAGTTTAGTCTAATTTTTTGCAACACCGCCTTTTCCTACACTCGCATTTTTGTTGCCAAATTAAACTGTTTTAAGGCTGACCGTTGACGCGCAACACTCTTTTATTCACCTCTCCTATTATTGCATTGGCATAAATCTGGTAAAAAAAAATGCAATAACCATAAGTAGCTTTCAGTAACCTTTTCAATCAAAATGATCTTCAAACAGCAAATACTAAATGTTATTTGAATTTTAATCAATGTTTGCTATTCTCAGTAAAAATTTTCATTTTTAGATTTCTATCCAGCAAAGTGAACTCAGACCATTCAAGATTCGTGAATGAAAGCCACTCTTACGAGCTTGATGGAGCTGATGCTCAACAAGATGCCTACTTAAGTGTTCATTCCAATAAAATTCTTGAGGTTTTTTTAACAACTTTTCTACTACAATTTGTAATTTTCTTGTGCGCAGATATTTGTCAACCAATCTCAACTGTATTTGAGCAATAATTATGATATGCTTCTCAAAATCTGGTTTCTTTTAAAAAAACTTTTGCGTATTCTTTTACTTTTCATACCGTTTGGTAACAGGGTAAAAATCATTACGGTTCTAAATTTTAGGCTACAGAAAAATTGTCTTGTTGTCAGTGTCAAAAACGATGGCAATTAGCAATTTTAGCAAATCTTGGCTTTCTAATTGTCTTCGGTATACGTTGCAATTTTGGAGCTGCTAAAAGCCATATGGCTAACAACTACACTGATCCATGGGGACATAAACATGTATGTTTTTTTTTTCAGAATTAAATCAATCTGTTTATGTAAACTAAGCATCACAAGTTTTCATTACTGCTGAGTTTTGAATTACTATCATTTTTTTACAAAAATTGTAAAATTTATACTTTACTTAAGTGTTTGGTCAACTAAACTAAACAAAGTTTTGAGCATCTTTCTGTTGTTATCACTATATGGTATCAACATAGAATTCTGTCTTCCAATCTTTAATAACTTCAGAGAAGCGAGTTCAACTGGACAAGAGGTCAACTTGGATTTATGGAGAGTTCATTCTTTTATGGCTATTTAATCACCCAAATACCTGCTGGTTTTTTGGCAGCAAAATTTGCTCCAAACAAGTTGGTATATCTATTAATTGATCAAAAGGTTCCAAAGCTAACAAAAACTACATAAGTTTGTAAAAAATCTTCGTTTATAGCAAACACTTATTTTAATCAGCGTAGCTGAAACTAATTTTGAAAGGTTTTTTGTTTATACTTTCTTTAGTTTTTAAACGCCTTAAAAGCGGAAATTCTTTTTGATGATAACCATTTGCTTTTTCGTAGTAGCTAATAAAAATTTCCTTTTTGTACAAATAAATATCATTAAATCTGCAAAAGAAAAAAAGCAAAAGTTTATCGTCAGTCTCAAATGATCAACCATCTTAATTACGCCTTCAGTGATTGTCAAAATTCATACTTTAATTAACCATTTTCTGAACTGAACAAACTTTTAAATATCTTTCTGTTGTTATCGCTATATGTAACTATAGAAGAGTCAGAATTTGGTCAGTTTTAAGCTTAGGTAATTGTCAACAACCCATGATTAAGCGTGAATTTTTTTTTTTGGATCTACTAATAGAATAAGGTGATCCAAATGACAAATGTTGCCACTTATCAAGTACTGACTGTTAGGAAAGGAAGAAACTGTTAAGGAATAAATATTAAGAATTTTTATACAGATCAATTTTTGTTGCCTCATTACGGCTACGTTTTTTTTTCAGACTTTTTGGACTGGCAATTGGTTTAGCATCTTTCCTCAACATACTCCTACCATTAGCATTTCGAACAGAATCTGACACTCTAATTGCCGTAATACAAATACTTCAAGGACTTGTACAAGTTGGTCATCATTTTCAATTATCTAACTGAGAAACTATGCTTATAAATTTTTCTTAAACACTGCAAAAAAAAAAGTCAAGTTGCAAACTACATTATTTCGAATTTTTATCATTTTTATTCGCCAACTTTAAAAATGCAACACCAATCTTTTCGCTTATTTATCACAGCAATTTCGCACTTGGTCAGAAGTGTATTTTGTAGGGAGTGTCATATCCGGCTATGCATGGAGTATGGCGGTATTGGGCACCGCCACTTGAACGATCAAAGTTAGCAACTACAGCATTTACAGGCTCCTATGCTGGAGCCGTATTAGGGTTACCAATATCAGCATTTTTGGTTAGCTATATTGGTTGGTCTATGCCATTCTATGCATATGGTACGTTTTTACTGCTGTTATCATCGATTTGAAGTTGAGCCAAATTTTTTCCATTACTGTTTTTTCTACACACATTTTTTTCTTTCATTTTTTGGAATAACTAAGAGTACCAAACCTTTCAAATTTCTGCCTGCAAACATTTAATTAAGAATTTAAGAGAATTTTTTTTAGGTATTGCTGGAGTAGTATGGGCAATATTTTGGTTTTCATTAACATTTGAAAGCCCAGCATTTCATCCAACTATATCACCAGCCGAAAAAAAATACATCGAAGAAAAGATTGGTATTGTTTCAACAACAAATCCAACGGTATACCATCAATTTTCAGCAAATTGTTGCCTGGATTTTGGCCTGCGATAAAGCACAAAAAAAAAATAATAATTAAAAAAAATTGAAATAATAACAAGATTCCGTACTCAATCAGTTTTTTTAATAAATTTTAAGTCAATACAACTAAGACCTATAAAATTCCTGTCTTTGATATCAAAATTTATAAAAAATAATCATTTTAACAGCTATTCTCTAAATATTTTAGTTATCAACAATACCATGGAAAGCAATTATGACATCAAAACCGGTTTACGCTATAATTGTTGCTAATTTTGCCAGAAGTTGGACATTTTATTTGCTACTACAAAATCAGTTAACTTATATGAAAGAACGGCTTGGAATAAACATAAATGAGGTTCTTTTTTCTTTCAAGAAACAAACTATCTGTTTTATATACAGTCAAGGTGTTGCTCGTCAAGTTTTGGTGAATAGTTTCTAATAAAATAACACTGTAAATAAATACTAGACTCTATTTTTTTTTCATCACATAATTTTTAGAGTGGTTTTTTGGCTGCTTTACCGCATGCAGTTATGGGTATAATTGTACTTCTCGGCGGACAACTTGCCGACTATTTACGATCACATAAAATTTTTTCAACAACAACTGTAAGAAAACTGTTCAACTGTGGAGGTATTAGTTTTGATTCTATAAAAAAAAAGTAAGAAAAGAACAATCTAAAAAATGTCATAAAATTAAGAACTCAATAAAACTGTCAACAGAAGCACTGTTCGGAATAAAATTGCCAATTAACTGTACCTTTTAATAATTATAATACTCAAAAAAAGAAAAGCTGTAAAATAATATTAATTCATATGCAGTAACTTACTACTTAATAATTATTTAATAAATATTCTTACAAAAAAATAATACTGCTAACCATCAGTGACAGGAAAAATAATAAACGAAAAGGATTGCCTATCGCTTATACAGTCAATACTCAACAATTGCTAACAAATTTTAGGATTTGGTGGAGAAGCATTCTTTCTGTTAATTGTTGCATATACAGAAAATAAAACTACAGCTCTCATTGCATTGGTTTTAGCTGTCGGATCAAGTGGATTCGCTATTTCTGGTAATCCTTCAGCTACTAATAAGACTGATCACTTAACCCATTATCCTTCTGTATCTTTTTGATTTATTTTTACCGTTATCTACAAATAACTCATAACAGCAATTAATTTGAAAAAGAAAAAAGCAACAAGTGATTTTAGGCTTTAACGTTAATCATCTGGATATAGCACCTCGTTATGCAGCAATCCTGATGGGATTCTCTAATGGAATTGGTACATTAGCTGGTCTAACATGTCCGTTAGTTACCGAAAAAATTACTGCACGAGGACCACATGCATGGCAAGAAGTTTTTTTGCTGGCCAGTTTAATACATTTCACTGGTGTAACCTTCTATGCAATGTTTGCTTCTGGTGAACTACAAGATTGGGCAGATCCAAAAGATACAGAAGCCGAATGGTTAAAGGGAACAAATGCAAAAGATCAAGGTATTAATTTGAAGTCTTTCCTTTTCCCTTTTGTTCTGCTTTTAGACAAACCATTTACAAGTTGTTTTCTGAAAACAAATAGTTGTAAATCTGTGACCATTGTTCATGAGGAGGACGGTCGTTGTTACGATAAAATCACAATAAAATCAATGAATTTTTATTATTGTTATTTAAGTAACAAATATTGGTTATGGGACAACGGATAAAGAAAGTGTTATGGTGGAACCGTTACCAACAGTTGATCAAATAAAGAATGGTAAGCAACAGAAGAAAAGCAACAATATTAGTTTTTTCTATTTGATCAATGCAGGGCTACTGCTACAACCGAAGCACTGATATTACTCAGTGATTAGGTAAAACAAAGAAAGCCTGCTAGTTGTCAGCTCCAACCAGTCACGTTTGCCAGTCTATTAACCAATTTAGTTGATCAACTAAGTGTTATATCTTAATACAGTTGCGTTTATTTAGGTTTACATAGCCGAGCCAAAGGTAATGGACGAAGCACACAAGCAGACGATCTACAGGAAGCTGAAAGAGCAGCACCGATATCTTTTGGTAACGAAAACTATCGCGCATATTAAATGTGGTACAAAGTGTGTTTACGTGTGTGTGTGTGTGTGTGTGTGTATGTGTGTGTGTGTGTGTGTCTTTCTCTCAGGAAACTCCACTATATCTGTGTGATCGTCCCCTTAAAAGAACAAAAAAAAAAAAAAAAAAAAAAAAAAAAAAA